ATCGAATCGGCCAGAGTGAGTGAGCGCACGATAGGGATATCATGTGATGAATGAAACAGAAACAGGCATTATCCATACAATTGTAAACCTTATATTTAAGTCCATATGTCTGTAGATTATTCTTAGCGTATCAGCAGGATACAATTAAGGAAAGAAGTTTCAACTTTCGACCCTAACTTGAATGCAGTATAGCCTATTTGCATCGTTGAATTTAATTTCACGCGCTTTGACCTTGAACTAGAATTTTTGGACAAGTGTTTATAAATACTTAAAAGTTTTTTGTGTTTGATTTTTAAAGTACACATTTTTCTATTTTTAGTTGAATCCAAATAATTGAGTTTATTTCTTGTGTTTGTATTAAACTTTTGAAATCTACACTCTTTTGGTATATTTTGTAATTTTAAATTAAGACACAAAATACTAAAAACTGAAAATAATGTAGCCAGTCCTAAGCCTGATAAAAGCATGAAGGAAAGTTTTTTTGATATTTTTATTTTCATGTTCTTTTTATTACTTTAAAATCATATTATAAATTGATATCAGAAAACCAACCGTATAACGTTGACTTAAATCTATATCTACTACGATATTATATCAGCGTATCGTTTCAAATCTCAAATATCATGAATCGAGAAAATCTACTAGCATCCATCAATATATAGATTCAGAAAATATATAGATTCAATATCCGATATTGATCCTTGATATATAGATACGATTCGATACGCGGCAAAACCGATATTACCCACTCCTACTGTATACACTACGGAGTATACACTATAGGAGCTCAGTGTAGCGAGAGAGATGGCTTAACGCCAGAGCGAGTGGGAGAGAATCGTACAGTCGATTGCGCATGGCGACGCGTCGCCACGCTAGAAATCGGTTTTACGTGCGGCTATAGATGTTTCACATCAACAATAGGCAAAATAAAACAAATCACACAACTTCACTCCTCGCGTTCCCGCCAAAAAGTTCATCTTCTTTGAATCTTCTTTTTGGTATAGATCATAGACAACACATTTAATAGGTACAGATGTGTCATTTTTTTATCACATAAAGGTAATCCAAAAAACAGGTTATGACACCACTGATTTTTATCATCTAGGAAGCTATCGAGTGAATCTTTCGTATCTCTCAGCGCTTATTATCTTAGAGAAAAACACCTGTTTATTATCAAGATTTTTGTATGAGATAATCATGCTTACTTCTGTTTCAATCATTCTATAACTATACAAGTTGACAGTTTGATAATGGCTTAATAAATTTAGTAACCATACTACAATACTAGTTGGTGCGTGATCGAAATGAAACAAGGTTTACGTATGTGACATAAACTTTTACTACGAAAGTTATAGCGTAAAAATTGCTTCGCTCCTGGCGACATCGGCCATTAGACGGCCCGTGTTTAATGCTTTGCATGTCTTTTGTTTTTTTTTATACCTTAGATGGGTGGACGAGCTCACAGCCCACCTGGCGTTAAGTGGTTACCGGAGCCCATAGACATTCACAACGTAAATGTGCCACCCACCTTGAGATTTAAGCTCTAAGGCCTCAGTATAGTTATAACGACGTTTTCAAGATATTTAAATTACAACACATTTTTTTGCCCTTGTAGGCAGACGGGCATAACGAAACTCCTATAGAGGCATTTCGTTTTAACAGTTTAGCCAAAGAACCCTAATTACATGTCAAAACACTATTTCCATAGATAATACATACACTGACATACACTTTTTTTATTTTTTATTTATTGAAAGCATTGGCAACACGGCCATCAGCTTAAACTAATTTTACAAAAAAATAGAACATGAACTAGAACTTACAATAAAACATAAATAAAAGAAACAAACCAAACCAAGAAACAATTACAAATCATTGAAAATAACAAATTAATGACAAAATGAATTGCAAAAACTTACTATAAAAAAATAAAAACTTACAAGTTTTCTTTCAACAAACAACAAAAAAAGAATATGAGTCGTTATAAAAAAATAATTAAACTTGCACATAAGCAGGAGACCTATGATACATTCATGAATTATACATTCATAGTCGTCCTATAGTGTGAAGTACAAAATTATACACTATTGAGAATAGTTGTGGGAGCTTTAAAATACCTTGAATGGAATTAGGAATAGATTTTAAGCCTGTGTCTTTACATAATGCATTAAACAATAATCTCTGTTGATTGAATTCAGGACAATTAAAAAAAATATGATCTAGATCACACATGCCAGAGTTACAATAAGTACATGCAGCTGAATCACTTATCTTTAATCTAAAAAGATGCGCAGGAAAATGGCCGTGGCCTATACGTAATCTACAAATAATCGATATAAAGGCTCTTCCCGGGAAGAATCTAAAACTATCAAACCAAGATTTAGTACTAGGTACTGGGACTATTGCAGCTAACCATTTACCTTTCGTTTCTCTGGACTTAGACAAGTAATTAGACCAACGTTTCATCATATTTTGTTTAATTGAATAAACTAAATCTGAGTACGGAACTTTAAAATCGGAAATATTTATATCTTTTGTAGATTTCGCTAATTTATCAACAAATTCATTACCCACAATACCAGAGTGACCTGGCACCCAGCAAAATTCAATNTAAGGCCGGTTACAGTGCTCCACCGACCGTCTGTGCGTACGTTCCGTCCTGACGGTACGCAATAACCGATCGTCAGTTTGCTTCATTCAGTGCTCTCCTGACCAACAATCTGACCGGATTGGTATAGTCAGTACGCAAAAGGGAAGCGTTTGCAAATAGTTTAATTACTGCTTATTATTTTCGAAAACGCTTAAGGAACGTTCAAGTTTTTTTTAATTATTTCAGAATGACGATCAAGTTTTGATGAATTATCAGCATATACTTCTTGCCAGGCCTTTAACTTGGCATCATGATCTTTATATAACACGTGTCCTTTGTCCCAGAGCGGTTCACGAAGACGAACTTCGGTGATTAGGCGCTCGGTGTCGATATATTTGGCCACGTTCAATACGAAATCGCTTTTTTTGATGATGATACACACATCCGTACGGTCGGTCCACTCATCGGTGCAGCACAAAACGCGTTCATTTGTTTCCATAGCGCGTCGGTCGACCGACGGCACGCATGCGGACGCGCTAGACCGACGGTCCTCGTACGCAGTGCGTAGCAATATACGCGTGCGTACGGTCAGTCCAGCACTGTAATGATTTATGAATTTTCATATAAACGACAAGCGCGACTGACGTACGCACAGACGGTCGGTGGAGCACTGTAACCGGCCTNAAGAAGCACTGGGTATTCTTTTTTTGTAAGGTCTTCGTAAAGAGCATGGTGGTCTTTAAAAAGACCGCGCTTATTTTTAATGAAAGTCATTTTTATTTTGCGGCTTTCGTCGTATTCAGATGACTTCATTCTTCTTTTTCCCATTATTATGGGAGCGGACACAGGGGCGGAGCTGAAGCCCTCACCCCCGTCGTCATCGTCCATTATTAAGGAACACACTTATGAAATATAATTTTAAACTCAAACACAGTGAAAAATTAGGAAACAATGTCGTAAAAAAGGGCTAAAACCAAATAAATTAAAATTAACTTGAAAAAAGCGCCTATTTAGTTTGACGTTCCCGCCCTTTTTTCCTGACATACACTTATTAAGACCATAGATTATACACTTAATATATGATTATGACTCTTTCCTGATGTCACACGAGACGCAAGCGTGGTATTACTATGAAACCTTAAAGGAAGAACTTCCAATCCAACGAGTCTTTGTTGGATAGACGATGTATCATGATCGAGGTTCGTATTATTTTTGTAAGCATTTTTTTTTTATTGTGCTGTCATAATGATTTCATATTCGTTCTGTGTAACTGTTGTCTTTTCCTTACCTAATCTTTGGTAGCTTATGGGGCTATTCCATCTTCACGCGGACCGGTAGGAGACCTCACGGGCTCAACCTGCTTGCTAACACTAGCTCTAGTAGGAGCAGTGCTTCGCTGTATCTACTACCGGAGCGGAATCGCGACCCACTGAGAAGATCTGGCGAGAAACTCAGAAGGTTTAACTGTTTGCGGTCGCAGTTTTGACTTTTTCGCGGTTTTTTTTTTGTGATAACGTCACTATCTCAGCATATTTTAGTAAAATAAGTCAACAACGACAGCAGTCGCCGCGTTTTAAGCATTTTGACCGTCTGTTATTATTTGCCACACACACGATACCCAAATATGGGCGAATAACAATCTCAGCCGTCCACACTACAAAAACTGTAACTATCGTAACATCGGAAATAATATCGAGGGGTGATAAACTATTTGGTTAATAGCCTAAACCCAATCTACGCAATAAAGAAAATGGTATTTGATGAACCAAGTGAACTGCCTTAATACTCATGGATCGCTTGGTTGGTTGCAATAAAAACATACTGTTACGCCGGTAAGAGTGACGCCATCTATCGCCGAATAGCCGAAGAAATATCGAAACACAACTCTATCTACTGTCAGATAGCGGAAACAGAAATCGAAAGTACTCGACTCGTGAGGAATATTCTCGATAATTCTAGGGGTGTCGTATCGGCTATAAAAGCGTTGCAGAGATAGCACGCAGTCAGTCAGTAATCGGAACTACTCGAAGCGAAGCAGCGAACGATCACCTGAAGCGAAGCGGAACAAGCGAATTGAGACTGTGGCGGGTAGCTATCATACAACGCGAATCTCGCTTACGACATTTTCAAGATAAGCTCGCATATATACAAGTTCCCAACAACATTTGGACCGTCGGTCTACCGGGCAATATGACCCGCTCGGTGGAAGATCTTCCCTTTGTCGTATATTCCTACAAGACTTTTAAAGTGTTTATGAAGTGTTGGGTTCTAAGTACTAAAACAGTGTTACTTTATACTTTGGTAGAACTTTTTATTTATCCCGAACCTTAGCGTGTAATTACTCTTCTTCCTAATGTTAAAATTTACAAGGAACTATATCAACATCAAAGAACAACAAAGAATAAATCAATTGAAAACTTAAAAAAAATATTCGTTTATTATTCATTTGAGCACATTGCCCGTACACATCTTAAGGTATGTTAGCCAGATAATCCTTCACGTGGGCTGGCTCTAAGCGACGGAACCCGCTCGCGTCACAGATGCCAACTTCTATGTTATCTGCAGTCATTTGACCCTCAAAACCTTCCTTAAGGGTCAGGATAGCGGTGTGAACTGCGTCATCTAACTCCAAGTCTTCTGTATATCTAGAAAAAAATAATGTCTAAAGTAGTGTAGTATAGGACTAGTGGCTAGATGTAGGTCGGATCTGTGTCTGTTTGTGTACGAGAAGAGCTCGGATCAGTACAGAGCTGCAGAGAACTGTGTCTGTAGTAGTGTAGTATAGGACTAGAGGCTAGATGTAGGTCGGATCTGTGTCTGTTTGTGTACGAGAAGAGCTCGGGATCAGTACAGAGCTGCAGAGTGATATTTACCTTTTTTCAAGGAAAGTTTTTCCATTATTAAAGTTCTTTCCCATAGCTGTGGCTTTCCATGCAAAATAGGCTCCGGAGGGGTCACACTGGAACAGGTAAGGACGTCCTTCTTCCCAGCCACAGATCAATAGAGATACCCCAAAGGGTCGGACGCCACTGAAACAGAATTTAGTTTGAGCGATATGCATACACACTCTTAATGTCAGCCCGAAGATCTGTTTATCTAGTTATTTAAAGACCAGATTGTAGAGGTAACAAACACTTGTAACTGGTTTTAAGTAAATACTTAGTATGTTGTCTCCATGGACTCTGATATTTATTATAGAAAACCATTCATTCATTCATTACATTCATTCAGAAAACCATAAAACCATTCATTTTACTGGTGGTAGGACCTCGTGTGAGTCCGCACGGGTAGGTACCACCACCCTGCCTATTTCTGCTGTGAAGCAGTAATGCGTTTCAGTTTGAAGGGTGGGACAGCCGTTGTAACTATACCGATACCTTAGACTTAGAATTCACATCTCAAGGTGGGTGTCAGTAGTTACGTTGCAGATGTGTATGGGCTCTGGTAACCAATTAACACTACGTGGGCTATGAGGTCGTCCATCCATCAATAAAAAATAAAAAAAAATAAAAAAATCAACATTTATATAGAACTGAAAATGAGATACCTTAATTAAAACATTCAGTCACTATTTATGTAAATCATTAATGATTCTAATTTGAAATTATGGAGGGTAGAAGTAACGAACAATCTCATTGTATTTTAAAATGTCTGCTGAAAGGAGGCCAATTAAGATGGCGCCACCGTAGCAAGTGGAAAGATTTAAAAAACAGCACTATAAACTATTAGAGTAGGATATTAAATTAAAAAGGAATGTAACATTTTCTTTCTATTGCTTAGATGGGTGGTCGAGCTCACAGCCCACCTGGTGTTAAGTGGTTACTGGAGCCCATAGACAGCTACAACGTAAATGCATCACCCACCTTGAGATATAAGTTCTAAGGTCTTAAGTATAGTTACAACAGCTGCCCTACCCTTCAAACCGAAACGAATTACTGCTTCACGGCAGAAATAGGCAGTGTGGTAGTACATACCCGCGCGGACTCAGAAGAGGTCCTACCACCAGTAAAATTACTGCATTAGTAGTGTTAACGAAACATTAATAACGTTTGTATAATGCATCTATAAGGAAAGTTTTAAGGAAACATCTGCCTTAACAGTGATTCGTTGAATCTACCACCGGATCCGACACCCAAAGCCGTATAGATGATATTTAGATCCACTCACCCCGACTGTGTGTACTCCTGCATGACCGTAGCTACTCGTTGCACTAATTGCGCAGTCGGGATCGGCTCATGATACATCAAGAAGTACTGCTGGGCCATCTTCCTTGCTTGAGTCACCAGTAGACGATAGTCTGGACCCATTCCCGAGTAAACCATGCCTGTAATAAACAAGAAATGATTACTTTTTGTAGTGTAATGTGTACAGTTTTAAGCTTTTCGACAAGTTTTGTTGTGCAAACATTCCTAAAGGGTCTATTAAATCTATAAAATATGATAGTACAGTAGCAATCAACAATATTACCTCTATGAAGTTTCTGTTCGGTATATGGAAAGTTTAAATTAAGATACTATTCTACTTTAAAAGGTATATTAATGATTTTTTTATACTGTTGAGTGCTAGTGTGTTAGGGTTTTTCTGGAGAGGATTACTTGTACCAACGTCAATTAGTTACCTGTTTCCTTAATTCAAGCCAATAATGTATCCCGAATTTGTATCTAGTAAGCTAAAGCTATGCTCATATTTATATATACCATAGACATTTTCCCTCATATTGACCAAGCGGACATGTCACAAATTGTTTTTTTTTTTTTATTGCCTTTGTAGGCAGACGGGCATACTGCCCACCTGATGGTGAGTGGTTACCGTCGCCCATGGACTTCAGCAATGTCAGGGGCAGAGCCAAGCCGCTGCCTACCGCTTAAAAAAAAATCCTAACTTAAGTAGGATTTTTTTTTCATTCCTATACTCTAGTAACCTTGAGGAGTTATTCTAGATTCACCGAACCAGTAGGTGAGCTCACGAAGCTCAAACCTTGACGACGTTGCTAATACTAACCCTAACAAAAGGAGCGCTTCGCAGAATCTACCACCGGGTCTGAAACACGACCCACTGAGAAGATCCGGCGAGAAAGTCAGGTCACTCAGTGACGGGTTCGACGAGAAGGTTAGGATATGTATTGACAACCATAAACATGGTGTCCCAGAACTCAACGTCAAGCCGAAACCTGGTGACAGGAACAATCATGAGAAAAATCAGAAAAAAAATCTATCCAATGCAGTTTGGAAATTATGACCATTTAAGGAAAACCTAGAAATTTGGTCAAACTGTAACCATTTTTCGGTTATTGTGGTTAATTTTTATTATTTTTGTTCATTTAAACTTTGGAACCGTAACCCTAAATAACATTTCTAGAACCACAGTCAAAAATAAAAGCACAACTGACCCCAAGTTTTCTAGAATTAAGATTATTTGTCAAACTATGAATCTAAAATTTTCAAAATTTGTCGACTTTGAAAGGCCCTCCTTTAAAAAAAAGTACTAAAGTGCCTTGGCAAGTGCCATTAAAAGTTCGCGCATTAAATCAGGATTGTAAAATGGTACAAAACTTGTTAGTTTCATACTAAAAAAATAAGAACCCCGAGTGACCTGATACTAACCCATTTTACTCAGTTCAAATGTTTTTTATTCACACAAGCTCTTGGTAGGTTCTTAATTTTACGACAAAATGATGAGAGAGATGGATAGCGGACATGTTTGCATGAGCGACCGAGACAGATAGTGACAGATATAAAACACAAATGATAACTATGATTGGTTTTATCACTAGTTTCATTTAGATTATACAATATTTTGTTATTCCACGGTAATATTGTGGGAGAATATTACAGTTTAGACCGAGCAGCAATTGCACCAATCTCACTTGAACTCTCCAACGATCCAACTCGATACGTTTTTATTGCTCAAAATGTGTCACCAGACAATATACGCCTTCCCAAAGTAAAGATGGCACCTTGACCATGCGGAAGATAAATGCTCTGCTCTGATTGGTTGTTACCTACATGAATTTACAATTTTGGCACCTTTTATTACAATTTATTTTTATAGAAGGTTTTAAAGCTATAGGAAAATGTAACAAACAAAATAAAATAAAATTAAGAATTATAAAAGTAATTACAACCTAAAAATAATAATATATGCATTTTGTATGTAAACAAGAATCAACTCTATTCATTGCTTCCTTTGACATATATATACAAGATAAATTCTTTATAACCAATATAATTGTTCATTTATAGGAAAGCAGTTGATGAAAGAAGAATTTATCCCATATAAGTGGAAGTCTGAAAATAGTACTGCACTGTGTAAATGATGATATGAGATGGGTATCAATGCCGAGATGACAATTTATAATAAGCCTGAATGGTAAAAAAGATATGTGCGTCAAGTTCACACAATGTGGGATGAGTAAGAAAAGCAGACAATACTTGTTCTCTTATACGAATAGGAGTATTAAGTAACTAATGTTAAAATTTAAAACTAACTAACATGTTTCTGATGTTTTTTTTTTTTATATCTTAGATGGGTGGATGAGCTCAGAGCCCACCTGGTGTTAAGTAGTTACCTGAGCCCAGTATAGTTACAAGGGCTGCCCCACCCTTCAAACCGAAACGCATTACTGCTTCGCTGCTAGAAAATTCGCTTACGTTAAGCCCGTTAGCTCACCTACCTGTTTAGGCGTAACTGGAATGGCCTCCTAGGCTATCAGCAAATAAGTAGGGACAAAAAGGAGACTCAACTCACCAATGTGGCCAGTTATCATCTCGACTTTGTTGACACTGTGTTCATCATACAGTATGCTCTTGTGTTTGTTCTCTGTGGCAATCACGACGCCATTTGACGCTGCAAATATGAAAACATCCTTTTTACTCTTAAAAATACTGAGTCATCCTGGGAAAAAATATACATTTGCGGTTTTTTTATGTGATGATACACAGTAATTAGTACAAAGGAAGTTATAGTTCTAGTTTAGAATTATAATAACCTTTAATTTTTATTTACTAACCTTTGATGCCGACGGAAGTACCACCGGCGGCTACGGCAGCTAAAGCATATTCGATTTGCACTAATTTGCCCGAGGGGCTGCAAAAACACAACAATTGAGATAACATTAACCAAAAATCATACCGCAACTTTAGTGTGAATCAAACAGAGTAGATTAGACGCTAAGACATTAAGCAACTTAAGTCATCATTGAAAATTATCACAGAACTTTATGTTCCATTGCTAATTAGACTTTTAAAACATGTAAATATATAGTTTTTTTACCTAAATGTTGTGAGAGAAAAACTGTATCTCTCCGACGCCATGATTACAGTGCAGATTGTCAAATTTGTCAATAATTCACTGCGTCATGTTGTCATCACTGTTTTCCAATCGTTCAGAAATATTTCTCAATTAGTTTGATCACATCTTCTTAAATTTTTTATATGGCAACATCAAATTGACTCACTCCTTATTGGTCAATTGGATTTAGTCTGAAATAGGCTTAACCAATAAAAGGCGATGCTTCTCGCTCAATATTTTGTTGTCGCATCCTTCTAAAAAAATCTATTTTTAATTTAATGGTTTCCCATTGAAATACGTGCGTAAACATTAGTGCGTTATGTCGGTTGGCCTCCGCGGAGTATCTTCGTCCTCAGAGACCATGTCCGAGAGCACGTTAGAGAGAAACCGAGCTGAAAAGGCTCTGATAACAAAAACTCCAACGCATACGTTACTCAAAAGTAATATTAAAAATTATTCGGACAGGAACGGGAACGATGTCACGGAAACCGTACACAGAGGGAGGAAAACCTTCGCATTTTGGACTCTAGTTTGTCTTTTATTCGTATTGGCTATCGGGAACTTAATTCTGACATTCACGATACTAGCCGTCTTGAGATTGGGACAAGGTAACTATTCTTGTTTTCAATAAAAAAATAATCAAACTGTAGATATTAGGACGTAATAGGTCTTAATAAGTAAGTTCTTTTCTAACACACTTTCATTAGTTCGTCCTGCATATATGGAATGGAATATTTTGACGTATGTAATTTTAACAGACATAAAGACGTCCAAAGAATTTGAAAATTCACACACGCGTCTAGAAGCGACGTCAGTACCACAGTTATCGTTGATCTAATATATCGATCAGGTTCACGTACAGTTTTTAAACTATATTTTTTTAGTACCTAAGCTACCCTATCTTTGTAGTCCAACCAGAGATAAAGACAAAGATAAGGTCTAAGGTCTTATACATTATTTTTCTGTTAATAACTTAAATTCCGTATTTAACCTATGCCCATATCCTCAATTGAACAATTATCCTGCTCTTTTTAACTCTTCTTCTGATCTGCGTGCTGTTCCAATTTTTATACCCGATTCATCATCATAAGCCATCATCAGTACACTGCTGGACCTCCCCAATTGTACGCCACTGAGCTTGATCCTTCTCCCTTCCAGCTCATACTAGTCACCCTGCATAGACCGTCACTCCACTGAGCCTGAGGACGTCCTACACTATATTTACCAATTCAGTCTCCATTTAAGAACATTCTTATCCCAACGGTTTTCTACTCTCCGGCTAACATGGCCAGCCCATTTCCACTTCAGCTAGTAATCCACTGTGCCATGTCTATAACTTTGTAGTATTAATACATGATTGAATCTGTGAAATGCCAATTAGCAACATTCTTCATTAAGTTTGTCCATGGATAATAATAATAATAATAATAATAATAATAAGCCTTTTATTTCCTATCACCTAAATATTACATGTAAATATTCTCAACCATATATAACTCCCACATTCAGATCCAATTACATTGCCGTTCACTTTTCCTCGACAGGAACCCCTATTTGGGTATAGGCCTCCTCCAGCTTAATCCAATTTTCCCTGTTCCCAGCCTGCCTCATGGATATTAATATTTAAATTATTTAATAAAACCTTATCAAATATAATTATACAATTCTCATTCTTCAATCTTCATTAGAAACCTAAGGAACTAATCATGTTTTTGTTATCACACTTTATTAATATTTATCATCAATGGATCTGATGTAAAAGGTGCACAGTATGTAAGGAAAGAAATAACTATGTTATTGCTTAAATCTCCTAGTCACAGCAGCTGTGGAAGCAATTAGGGCAAGATTTTTACATAAAAAGGACACATCACACTTAAGGAAGCACAACGAAATGCATCTAATTAGTACAAACATAAAATTCAGATTTGTATTTTTATTATTGAGTGGTGTTTCACTTTTTTTTCAGGTCTAGAGAGCATGGAGTTTCTTCCGGAACACAATGCTATAAAGTTCTTCGGTAAAACCAACTTGGAGAATGTATATAAGAGAGACGGTTTGATCGAGAGCTTCAGTGATACACCCATGAGCATAACCAGCGAGAATGGCTCTGTTCTATTCAATTTGCAGACTAGGTATTGACTTCACCAACATAGGATGTAGCGTTCCACGAATCTCCATGTGAAGTAGACAAGCCTTTGGTAACGCTAAAAATAGTAAATAAATGAAATATAATATAAAATAATATCGAAATGTGAAAGGCTATTTGGTATAAGCGACATTTCTGCGACTTTACAGGAGACCATTCAAAGCTTAAAATGTGGAAAAATATTATAAATATGATAAAAACTTTCAATGGGGTAAACTTAATTAAAGTTCCAAATAAAATGCTCATTTAATTACACATAGAGATAAATGTTGATTAAACCAAAATAGGCTATTATTCCTTGATTTCTTTTAATGCTTAGATGGTTGGATGAGCTCACAGGCCACCTAGTGTTAAGTGATTACTGGAGCCCATAGACATCTACAACGTAAATGCGCCACCCACCTCGAGATATGAGTTCTAAGGTCTCAGTATAGTTACAACGGCTGCTCCACTCTTCAAATCTAAACGCATTACTGCTTTACTACACTGCAGAAATAGGCGGGGCGGTGGTACCTACCCGTGCGGACTCAAAAGAGGTCCTACTACCAGTAAGAAGGATATGCAAAACTTTTAACACTATTGATTGGTCTTGGCCAGTCACTCTGTAAGAACCGGCTTATTCATACAATTCATTATAATTCACATGTATATGTAGCAGTTGGAATACAGCTAGCTGGACTCAGTGGGTGAAAACTGTACATAGCCAAAACCCATTGTCCTTTGCATTGATTGGCTAAAGTGGCTCAGTAGTTAGACGGTCAAAAAGTGATTATCGGTAACTTGAATATATGGAAATGTGTCTTGAAAATGTTCTTAATGCTTAATCAGGCTTTTGAAACTATTCTATGACAGGTACTAATACAAACAGATTCATATTGGTCGATAAGCATTGGCAATATATAAGATGAGTAAGAGGCTAGCGGTTAATGTAATGTTAACTTTTTTATTTATTGCCCGTGTAGGCAGATGAGCATACGGCTCACTTGACGGTGAGTGGTTACCGTCCCTCATGGACGTCAGCAATGTCAGAGGTAGAGCCAAGCCGCTGCCTACAGTATAATACTCTCCACAAGTCTTAATCAGTTTCCGGTGACCCTACACTGTTTTGTTGCTGAACAGAAGAGCTTATACTTTTTATTACAACATTCATTCGAAGATCTATTTCAATCACCACAAAAAAACTATTCACAAAGTTATTTATTACTCCAGGTCAGTGGTCGGCAACCTTGTCATGCAAAAAAGCCAAATATAGATAGATAGCAGAGAAATGAAATTTATTCAGACCCATTTTTTAATATTAATTTTTATAGCCTTCTCTCTCTCTCTCTCACACTCTCAGCTACTCACTCACTCACTCTCTCTCACTCTCTTTATCTTTCTGTTTCTCTCTTCCTAACTATTTATCCCACATGGTGGTGAGGTGAGCTTTCCCTATTCTACTCGTCCACTTCTCTATGTCTCCAACATCCTCATATACATTTATATAGTCTTGTGTTTCAAAAATGTTTACGGAGAAGAGTTTCTCACGAACAAGATAATGAGTAATATTCAGTGTCTGGACTTAAATGTTACGCTGGAGACCAGTAATCAAGGAGTCTAAGAGGTGCCGACCACTGCTCTTAAGTGGATCAATGAATTCACAAACTACCCGCAATGTGTTTCCCGTATCGCAAGACGAGCTTTTAGGTTGTTAAAGCCTGCGATCTGGTCACCACTTAAAACCGGGTGGGCCGTGAGCTTGTCCACCTGTTTAATGCGTATAATCCGCTGTTGGGCGAAGCGGTGGTAAAATTTTGTAGGGCTCCGTAAAAATTAGTTGTGCAATGATATATAAACGAAGATTTACGACTTCAGATTATCACGATCCGACACGAAACTGCTACTGAATTCGTCTGGGGTCTTCATCCGCGGCGTGAACTCCTTGGAGCTGATCAGCCTCGACTCCGGGGAGGCTGCGTTCAGCACAGCATCCCCCGAGATGAATATACACGAGCCGATCAACAATTTGCAAGCGAAAGTGCGTTTGTCTGTATTTATTTAATTGATTTTTTTATAGCTTAGATGGGTGGACGAGCTCACAGCCCACCTGGTGTTAAGTGGTCACTGGAGCCCATAGACATCTACAACGTGAATGCGACACCCACCTTGAGATATATTAAGTTCTAAGGTCTCTGTATAGTTACGGCTGCCCCGCCCTTCAAACCGAAACGCATTACTGCTTCACGGCAGAAACAGGCAGGGTGGTGGTACCTACCCGCGCGGACTCACAAGAGGTCCTACCACCAGTAATGTAATTATTTTTTTATAGCTTATATCGTCTTCTCTCATTCAAACTGTATAATCTCAAAACTTACTAATTTCACATGAGAGTTTTTTTTTAACGGTTTAAAACATGTGATATCTTTATTTAATATTAATCATCTTTGTGACATTTTTTTCTGTATTTTAAAGTAAGATAAAATTGTATGTATTAATTTTGTTAATGGTGATACCAAATAATTCCGCATATTAACTCAATTTCGAATATTTTTGGAAATTGTACACTATTAATGCGAAAAGACGATATGGGTGGACGCGCTCACAGCCCACCTGGTGTTATGTGGTTACTGGAGCCCATAGACATCCACAACGTGAATGCGCCACCCGCCTTGAGATATAATTTCTAAGGTCTCAGTATAGTTACAACGGCTGCTCCGCCCTTCAAACCGAAACGCATTACTGCTTCACGGCAGAAATAGGCAGGGTGGTGGTACCTACCCGCGCGGACTCACAAGAGGTCCTACCACCAGTAATTACGCAAATTATAATTTTGCGGGTCTGATTTCAACTAATTATAACGCTTTTAGCTTTTCCAGTATCTATATATCGAAGAGTGACATGCTATTTGGCTTAAGCTACACTTTTGTTATTAGAAGAGTCGTTTAAAGTTTAAATTTGGAAAAAATATCATAACCAAAAAACTTCTTCAGCTTTTGAATGAAGTAAATTTAAATGAAGTTCAATTATAGTAAGCGGCACGTAAGTTGGCAAGGTTTTGGTGTAGTGGGGGTAATGTCGTGCAAGGTGCACATTGCAACAAAAAATGGTCACTTTTATTGCCCGCATATAATTTAATTTAATTTAATTTATTTTTTTATTTGCCATAATTTGTTTTTAAGCCTGTATGTTTAGATGAAAGTTAAAGAAAAGAGAGGAATTCGTGAAGTGTATTAGGTGTTCTAAATAAAATACAATTAAAATTTAAGAAGTTTATTTAAAAAATATACTTAATATTAAAAATTATGTGTCGCCGTCGTCACTATCATTTTCTAATAGTGCTACCCCTTGGATTAAATTTATGGTAGCACCTGAGCTGGTGGAAAGAGTTGGCTCCTCATCGTCGACATAACGAAGAGTCGCTGTCGTCACTGGCGTAAATAATAAAACGCTCAGTGACTGAATCGACTATATGGTCATTGGTATTTGGTCCTGGCAGTGCAAACAAATTTAAAAGAATAACACTTGTAACAAAAACTAAATTTAAAACAATAATAACAACTCGTAACAAAAACTGCGACATTGGGTTATTCAAGAAAAGAGCATATTCTTATCTGAAGGGTAGGCAACGCACTGGCGTAAACGCTGGTGACCGTGGGCGGCGGTGAATCACTTACCATCAGGTGACCCGTCTTGCTCGTTTGCCTCTTAGTTGTTATAAAAAAAAAACTCAATATAAACAAAGGGTTCTACAATTTAGTAGGTGCATGTGTAACCAGGAGCGAACGGAACGTGGACGCGGTGCGGGAGGGGAGGGTCGACTGACTCACCAATCGCGCGCTCGGAACGGTGCTACGTCTTTCCCCGCGTCCCGCTTGACAACCAAAGAGACCTAAAAAACGACTTCTGCGCATCTAACGACTCTTGCCAAGTTACGTGCCGGGGACTATAAAAGCATCGAACTTTTGATACTGATATCAAATAAAACGCGCTTTTAATTGCAAAGAAAAATGTCGCGTATTAAGCGAGATGTCGCAGGAACTTTTTGACCAAAGCTTTTTGTTTTATTTTGTCTATTTAGTGTTCCTTCGGGTTTAAATGTGTAATAACTTTGGTTTATTAACTGTTTAATATCTGTGAAAGTGCACAAATGTGGGAAAATGAAACAAAACCGCTAGACGTAACTACTCGGGATCCTCCAAAAAGTCCACTGAAAAAGTCACAGTAAATGACCACCATTTTACTGACTTTATATTTCGTCCCATATCATCTCATCTCATTTCATTTAATTTCTCTCCCTTTTATCATTTTTCATTAAATTAAAATATGACTTATCGGTCCTAGTTACCAGGTCATTAAAATCCCTTAAAAAAAACAACAAAACGGAAATGTCGTTTAAACCAAATAGTTTTTCACCCCTCTATAATATATGCATGTATATATTATTTGCCTATTGCTGCCGCCATTTTGATTACCGAAATGCCTTACCGGTCCGGGAGTCACTATAAGAGTTTCGCCCCGTCAACAGCAAATATCGACTAAGCGCGTCACCTCGCCGATAGACCAAGACCTGATATTGCGTTCGGAGTCATCAGCCCACCTCCGCGGAGCCGAGGGGACGCACATGGAGTCCAAGAAACTCCACTGGAGCGCCGATCAGGACGTGTACCTGAGGTCCATTAACGGCTCTGTGATCCTAAGCGGCAAGGAGGGAGTCTATGTCGATGTCAGATATTTGCCGATAGCAATGCCCCTCAACAGAACGGATAAGCTTCAGGGGGTAGGTCAGTTCAAGGTATGCGTCTGCATGCCACAAGGGAAGCTTTTCAGGGTAGCGGTGCCGAATGGTCAGAAGACCCTATGCTCCCACGTCAATATGACAGGGGATCTGAATCCGTGCCTATAAGGGCTTTGATCGCTGTGGCTAAATGAAGATCACGGGTCATACAGTAAAAGCTCTTTACTAGAGATGAGACGGGTATCCGGTAACTATCCGGTATCCGGCCATGTTTTCACTATAGGGCCGGATACCGGATAGTAAATCAGTATCCGGCCGGAGTTATAGTAAAATTTAAGAAAATCTCATGTTTTTTTTATTGCCTTTGTAGGCAGACGAGCGTACGGCCCACCTGGTGGTAAGTGGTTACCGTCGCCCATGAACTTTAGCAATGCCAGGAGCAGAGCCAAGCCGCTGTCTACCGCAAATGGTTATAAAAAAGGCAAATAATACCACAATAGGTTATGGACAACTTTTATTTTTATAATCGCACCTCAAAAGTGATTGTTTTATTAATTAGTTTGTTTAGTACTCAAAATTAACAAGTGGCAAATTGTGGTAGAATGAATACCAAATTGTCGTCGTACCGAGTCGTCGCGGTCTCCGCTCACGTGCGATAACACCCGAACGCGCACGAATATCTCCGAAAGGGCCAAATATTCGGTATCCGATATCCGGCCAAACCACTATCCGTTTCATCTCTACTCTTTACATAGATAATACACATAAATTAGTTATAGATAAGCAAACTCAAGCACTCAACAAAAATGTTTACGGGCGTCGGCCACTAGATGGCTTCGCTTCAATTAGTTTCTCATTGCCCCTGTAAATGGCAGCAACAAATAACCTATCCTATATTTTATTTTTAATGAAGGTGTTTGTAAATTTTCAGAAACCACAAATTGTTAACATTTAATCGATTTGTCTATAACAAATAAAGACTTGTATGATTATTTTTTTCTGTGTTTATTTGTACAATAATTAAATGCCTTCAGTTTGGGGGCATCCGCTACAAGATGTCGCTAGTTTCCATACAAAAAAATAAATTGTCTTAAAGTATCGTAGTTTCAGAGCCCTGGCTCTTAATTCGCGCCTTATATTAATTATGTTTTCGTAAATACGCAGCGAATATGAAAACATATGAATGTGGATTGGTAATTTATATTATATTAAGGGATCTTAAGGAATACTGTCCGTACCTGATAAAATAAAAAAAATACTTTAAGCGTAGTTGTAATAAGGTCTAATTTACTGTTTTATTAGTCGATTTGACGACGCGCTTACAAAGGATATTCGGTTGGATACGTAAGTATATATTGGAATCCTTTTACGCTTTTATTAGCTTCAGGCGTATCTATGTTAGTATTTAACGGAATCTTTGAACATGATTTTGACCCCCTTCAAAACGTCGGATTAACTCGAAATTTTGTATACTTATTGAGGACCGATGACAATTCAATATTAAAAAAAAAAATTGAAAAAATTTAAATTCAACTAAAAAATGTTCACTATATTTAATTCAAATGTATGAAAATTTATTTTCTATTTTTAGTTGGATTTTCTATAAAAAAAACCTTTTTTATTAGTTTTTTTAAACTATTATTTATTATCAATGTGTATGTACTGATGTATCGATAAGATCGGCGTATAAAGAAATGTTTAGCCGCGAATATTGGAATTGGATCTCTTTTAATTCGTGACTAGTGGAAACGCGTATAAGGAGCTTTTACTGTATGCGAGAAAATTTCGTATCGTATGGCCTCATCCTAAACAACAAATGTACTGCGCTAGAGAAATTTTGCTGTCTCTTACGTTTGAATCGGCGTTACCTAATAAATAAAATGTTTGTTGTAGTTAAAATGTTTTGTATTTATTTACCGACATCCTCTCCTGTGATGAGTAATAGTTTGGGCTGCTCTATTGAATTATTGTCCAGTCATCGTTCTCGTCGAACCCGTCACTTGCGACGAAAGGCTCGAAGAGTAAATTAACCCACAGACACAGCCCACTAAGTTCCTCGCCGCATCTTCTCAGTGGGTCGCGTTTCAGATCCGGTCGTAGATTCTACGAAGCACTGTTCTTGCTAGGGTTAGTGACGGCAGCTCTCTCATTGCGCCCCGTGCGTTAACCTACTAGCCAGCGCGTAACTGGAATAGCCCTTACGCTACCAGCTAATAAACGGGGGAAAAAATCTTGCCCACCGCCGAAGTCTGCCCAAATCTGTTTTTTTTATTATTGCTTAGATGTGTAGACGAGCTCACAGCCCACTTGGTGTTAAGTGGTTACTGGAGTCCATAGACATCTACGACGTAAATGCGCCACCCACTTTGAGATATAAGTTCTAAGGTCTCAAGTATAGTTACAACGGCTGCCCGGCCTTCAAACCGAAACGCACTACTGCTTCACGGCAGAAATAGGCAGGGTGGTGGTACCTACCCGCGCGGACTCACAAGTGGTCCTACCACTACTAATACTAGCTGGAATAGCCCCTTACGCTACCAGCCAATGTGTAGAATGAAATAAAAGCCATGTCCATCATCGAAGTCTACCAAAGTCTGTGTCATGGCGCTTACGGTATGTATACTAATATAAAAATAAAACGCATTTTAATAACATGAAGAACGTATGTTTTATTGACGGACGTTTCGATACAACGCAGCGTACCGAAATATTTACACATTCAGATTCTGAATAAACGTCATTTATAATTATTATGAAGCTCAACATAATCGTTATTTTTAAAATTGTAAATTACAAAATTTGTAGATATATAAAAGAGAATGTGTGTGTGTGCAAGTTCACTTAAAATTTGAGAACCGTTTGCCTAATTGATATAAAAACTTTGGGAACTTAAAAAGGACGAGCAGCTACTGCGATGATCATAGTTACGTTATCCTTTTAATGTCTTATCCTTTGAACCATACATAGGTCGAATGGATATGAAATGTATAAAAAAAAACGAAGGTTATTTTAAGCTTCATAACGCTTATTACTAATAATTATATCTCACTCGAACTATAACAACAATAATAAGTTGTCTTATTAAAGTATTTATAATACTAAAATTTTAACGTAAAATACAACATTTAGGGGCAAATGAAAAATCTAGTTTTTCTAGAAATTCTAGTAAAAAAACATACTATGTATATAGTTTGTTTCATCGACAGATTTGATTTTTAATCCTCAAAAATTACTAATTTGACTTTTTTTTCTATATTTTTTTCTTCGTAAAATAAAATGGCGTTACTATGCTTCTCAGAATAATATGACAAAGCTTGTATAAATAAGCAAGTTTGCTGCTCGATTTGGATTTTGAATGACGCTTGAATCATTTGCAGATAATACGCCATTTTGTAGTGTGGTGCCATCAATAGAGGATAAAACTAATAAAATGCTGACAGCACTAGACAAAATTGATCGCAATATTAACTGTGCAAATTGTGTCAGCACGCAGTTTTTAGGTCAAACTAAGATGATGTATGACTTATTTATGTCAATTCCGCAAACTTAGCAAAGATTGATGGGTAAAAAATTTTAAACAGCCAATCGACTAAATTTTTAAAGAAAACAAATGTTTATCATTATATTTAAACATAAAAACGTAATAAAATCTATTTAAAAAAACATAACACTTCAATAATTAATTTATATACTAATAACAACAATACGTATCTTCTTAAACAAACAATATTATTTAGTAGCAAACTATGGAGGGTAGAAGTAAGGAGCGCCATCTTGTATAGGGGACAAGTTGATAAAGTGTCCGCCTGTAAACAGCAAGTTGCTGTTGGAAGACTCGCCGACATAGCGCTAGTGTAGGAAGGGGAAAATATATTATTATAGCAGTTTGAAACAGAGCGAAGTGTGGTAGCTAAGGCGCTGTTTTTTTAATCTTTCCACTTGCTACAGTGGCGCCACCTTAATTGGCTCTTTCAGCAAACACTTTTTAATACACAAAGATGATGCTTCTTACTTCTACCCTCCATATAACAAATTATTTTATAACTTAAGCGCGTAAGGGACAGAGCTAAGAATGTTTAACAAACAATTCTCTGTTCTTTTCCTCTGCTAATAAAGTTCAATATAGATTATTAACACGTTCGCCCACGATCAGTCGGTAGTGGCTACAGCGCGCAAACGGAAACTGTTATGTAGAAATTTTAAAGTAAAATACAATAAAATGCTTAAAAAAGTATACAAAATAAAATTTACAATTCCTTTCGAAGCAATTCCTTAAGTTTATAATTTTCTTTAAACAAATTTCATAACCTTTAAAATACATTTAATATTATTTTACAATCAATACAATCGTTTCCAGAAATCTTATTTTTATAATATAAATGCATCACCAAGTATGCTTTCCATGAACATTCACACATTTTTAACTAGAACATTATATATTTAAGAAAGACAAAAAAAAATTACTAATTTTAGACAATAACATTTAATTCATAAGATATTTTTAATTTTATTGTTAACATTAATTTTTACTTACACACGTAATAAATAAATGGCAATAGGTTCTAATTGTAACGATCATCATATAACGACAAATTCATTTAAGTTTTAAGTGACTCTGCGTGAAACGGAAAATCTAATTTGCCGCGCGATTAATGGACGTAGTGGCCATGATGCTTAAATCAATAATATTAATCAAATATAAGTAATCAATGTTAGGACTTTTTGGCGGGAACGCGAGGAACGAAGTTCTGTGAATTGTTTTATTTTGTCTATTTAGCGTTTCTTCAGGTTTAAATGCGTAATAACGGTGGTTTATTAACTGCTTAAGATCTGTGAAAGTGCACAAATGTGAGAAAATAAAACAAAGCGTAGCTTCTCGGGATCCTCCAAAAAGTCCACTGAAAGTCTCAGTGAAATAACCGCCATTTTACTAAGATTATATTTCATCTCATTTCATTTCATGCCATGTTTCCTATTATAATCAACTTCATTTCATTTCACTACATATTAACATCTTTCATTTTAAAAAATATTTCATTAAATAAGAGATTAGGCTGTATGGTATATGGTATAAGACCTCTGCCTTTTCAGCTTGAAAAATAAAACTATTACTACTTCTGAATCAATGTTATATAAATTAGATTAGATTAGATTAAAAAGATGTAATCCATACTATTATAACCCGAATAAATTAAAATTTCAACAAACCATTCTGAAAGAAAGAGATAGTAGATTTTTGTAGAGCGTCTTCTCATTCGTTGTTGTCTGTCATCCTTGTGACATATAAAGGCTACGTTCCGATTTACACTGCAAGCATTGCTCAGTGCTCTTAATGGAGAGAAATTCATTCCGTTAAGACTGACTGTGTATAGTAGCAGTATCCTAACGAAATTAATGACATCAAAAAT